AGACACAACAGCTGAGAAGGAAATACAATAGATCTAGAAAAATAATATTTACCAAAGTGGGGGGAAGGGAAAAGTCTATACACATCATTCTATGAAAGTCTTCCAAACAGGTAAACATATACTCATTTGTAGTGGCTGTATTCATGACATGTGTTTGTTGTTGTTGTTGTTGTTGTTATTATTATTATTATCTTAGAACTACAGAGCTGGAAGGGACCCTATGGATCATCATGTCCAGCCCCTGTCAGGGAAGCACAGTGAGGAATTGAACTCCCAACCTTTGATTTTGCAGCTAGAGACCTAAGCCGCTGAGCTATTGCTAGTGTTCTAAGGTCTTCTATCCATTGAATTACACAGGGCAGATGTTTATCTTTCCAGTCTGTTGGCAACAGTAAGGGCATGGAGAGGTTGACCGGTGGTTAATCTCCAGGAAGCAGGCAGATAATTTAGTAGTAGTACATAAACAGAAGGGGAAGATATGGAGGCAGTGACAGATTTCACTTTCTTGGGCTCCATGATCACTGCAGATGGAGACAGCAGCCACGAAATTAAAAGACGCCTGCTTCTTGGGAGGAAAGCAATGACAAACCTAGACAGCATCCTAAAAAGCAGAGACATCACCTTGCCAACAAAAGTCCGAATAGTCAAAGCTATGGTTTTCCCTGTAGTGATGTATGGAAGTGAGAGCTGGACCATAAAGAAAGCTGACCGCCGAAGAATTGATGCCTTTGAATTGTGGTGCTGGAGGAGGCTCTTGAGAGTCCCCAGGACTGTAAGGAGAACAAACCTATCAATTCTAAAGGAAATCAACCCTGAGTGCTCACTGGAAGGACAGATCCTGAAGATGAGGCTTCAATACTTTGGCCATCTCATGAGAAGAGAAGACTCCTTGGAAAAGACCTTGATGTTGGGTAAGTGTGAAGGCAAGAGGAAAAGGGGACGACAGAGGACGAGATGTTTGGACAATGTCATCGAAGCTACCAGAATGAATTTGACCCAACTCCGGGAGGCAGTGGAATACAGGAGGGCCTGGTGTGCTCTGGTCCATGGGGTCACGAAGAGTCGGGCACGACTAAACAACTAGACGACGACATAAACAACAAAGATCAGAGTGGTCCAATGCCAAATTAATACTTGTATTAATGCATGGAGATCATTCAGTCAAAGGGTCGCCATAAGCCTGAGGTGACGTAATGACATATAAGAGCAATAACTTCCCCCCAAAATGAACCTAGCTGGATGGATAGTTTGGTAGCTTAGGTCTCTGGCTGTGGAGCTAGAGACTGGGAGTTTGATTCCCCGCATGTGCCTCCAGGGAGAAAAGCCAGCCTGGGTGGCCTTAGGCAAGCTGCCCAGTGCCAGGGCTCCCCCTAGAGGAAGGGAAGTGTGAATATTCTTTACACGGGAAACCCTGAAAAAAAGTCACCATAAGTCAGAATTGTCTTGATGGAACATGAAAAGAAAAGAAAAATCAAAACCTTGAACCCATGACGGGACATGACCATAGCATATATCTGAGATACACATCATGGGAATTGCAGACCTTTCCTCCTCAGATCTTTACTTACTTACTTACTTACTTACTTACTTACTTACTTACTTACTTACTTACTTACTTACTTACTTACTTACTTACTTACTTACTTACTTACTTACTTACTTACTTACTTACTTACTTACTTATTTATTTATTTATACCCCACCTATCTGGTCATTGCGACCATTCTAGGCGAATCCATTTTAGTCTCCAGTACATCCTAAACATGATTTTTTTTTGCTGATAGCTCATCGCCTGAGATCCATATATCCATCAGATACACTACTGAAATGCAGCCATCTATGGTTAGGTAAGATAAAGTGACCCATTTCCCTGCTTAATTCATCCCTTAGATCTAGTTTATTGTATTTATTAACTGATAAAAGATACTTATAGACAAATAATGTGGGTTTTTTTTCCTGAACTGATTCAATAAACAATTCCAAGCAAGAGACTCTGAAGCACTCAGTGCTCCTGGACCATGTTTACATACCTGCAGATGCTGGTTTTATTTTTTCAAACAAAAATCTGATTCATTTCAAATATGGTGCTGGAAGAGAGCTTTGTGAAAATCTTGGAAAGCCAGAAAGACAAATAAGTGGGTCTTAGAGGAAATCAAACCTGAACTCCCTTTGGAGGCAAAAATGTTGACAGCTGAGGCTATCCTACTTTGGGACACATCCTGAGAAGGCAGGATTCTCTGGGAAAGACCATTATGCTGGGAAAAGTGGAAGGCAGCAGGAAAAGAGGAAGACCAAATACGAGATGGACTGATTTCGTAAAGGAAGCCACAGGCTTGTGTCTAAGAGCTGAACAGGGCAGTTGAGGACTGAGCATTTTGGAGAATCGCTCATTCTTAGGGTCACAAGAAGTTGGATGCAACTTGGTCGCGATTCCGTTGAGGATGGCAAGTCATACTTAACCCTCGAACTAGAAAACAGCAGAAATGCATCATCGTATCCAATCAATTACTTTGATATCATACTGACTGAGAAAAACCAACACATGGAAATTAATAAATATCATTATTTTATTCACCAGTGGTTTCGATACAGGAAGAATAAAACTTTGAGAATCTTGATATTAAAAAAAGGGGGGGAAAGAGGAGAAAATTTACGAGTGGCTGTGAGGAGGGAAAGATGATAAATCCTCACAGTGGCCGAAATCCTATTGCGGTTTTACGCTGGCATAATGCCACGGGTGCAAATCATGGTGGCAAATTGCCACACATTAGGAAGTCAGCAAAGGCATTTGCTGTTGTGCATGTGACAGCAAACGCCTCCATTCACTTCTCAATGGCAGCCATTTGCCACTAAGATTACGCCATGCGTACTATGCTGGCAGGCATTACTGACACGTTTTTGGTTGGTGAATTCTTCAGATCAAATGGACCCAAGAAACTCTATTATGACCTTGCCACTGCATTTTAAAAAAACCCTGGTGAGTTTGAATTATTAATCTCTTCTCTGCATCCTAACCGCTCCCAGAATTAGCACTTCCAAAATGCTGGAAAGCAACATTAAGCATAAGGAGAAGAGAAATTACATCTCAGTGAAGCTTACTCATAGAACACTTCCTCACCACCTAATACAAGTATCTGTTACCAAGATCTAGTTTACACCTTTTTTTCCTTTCTGTTACACACATGCCACTCTCACTCTTTCTATCATATGTACAATACTATTGTCTGTTGTACCCTTTCTCAGATTTTTCTCTCATCCTTAAATTCCTCTACTTCTACCAAGTTTGGCTGGGAGGAAATTCCTGCAGACTTTTGGGGCTTATAGTCTACAGACTCCAAACATGTCATGCTAGTACTGTACATGGATGCATAAAACTCTATTAGCACATTTATGCAGTTCCCTATTAATGTCAGTTCTTTCGTATGAAATATGTCTTGAATTTGCACTCTAGCTTTTCCACCATTGTTAATGTTTACTCTGTGTGAAGGTTATTTTAAGTGAGTATCACATCAAAATAATCTCTTTACACACTGCATGTAAATATATGCTTATATATTGTTTCTCCCCTTTGCAGGTTCTTCTATGTGAAATAAAGAATAGTGACTGAAACTCTTTCCAATCCACATTCATTTTAATACAGTGGTGCCTCGCTAGACAGTTACCCCGCATGACAGTTTTTTCGCTAGACATTGGCTTTTTGCGATTGCTATAGTGATTCGCAAAACAGTGATTCTTATGGGGGAATTTCTCTGCACAATGTTTGGTCCCTGCTTTGCAAACCGATTTTCGCTAGACAATTTTGACAGCTCCCTCCGCGCTCGCAAACAGGTGTTTTGGGGACCTAAGCTTCGCAAGACAGCGATTTAAACAGCTGATCGGCGGTTTGCAAAGTGGCTTTCCTATGGCCGATCTTCACTAGACAACGACGATTCTTCCCCATTGGAACCCATTAAACAGGTTTCAGTGCATTTCAATGGGGAAATGCTTTTCGCTAGACAACAAATTTGCTAAACAGCGATATCAGTGGAACGGATTATCATCGTCTAGCGAGGCACCACTGTACAGTATACATATATTAAAGTAGGGATGCTTTCCATACTCTACGCATTAATCCCATTTCTTCCTAGTGTTGATTCTTTCACATAAGGGAAGATTCCTTCTTATAAGAAGCTTTCCTCACACTCCATGTACACCAGGATCCCAGAATCCCCAGGGAATTGGTTTCAAACCTCCCACCCACATAGATGCTGAAAAATGTGAAATATAGCAAATACCATACATAGCATGGTCTCTGGCTCCTTCTAGTGGCCAGTTCTGGTTACTTCACTTTCAGAGTTATTTTTCTGTTGAAAAGTTCTTTACTCGAGGCAAACTTTTTCCCTAGGAATGCATTGAAAACCATTTAATCCGTACCTGCTGTTTTTTGTTCATATGTCGAAGTGCTATTCATAGGTAGAGGCATTAGTTCCCATAGGAACTAATGCAAAGCCGATTAATCCGTACTCTACCGCTAGGGGAGATTTTTAAATTTTTTCTTCTTTTGACCTAATATGAACTTAGGTCAAAAAAGGGCAGGAAAGGTGTTTTTTGTTTGTTTTTGTTTTGGTTTGTAAGTCAAGGCTCCGTTCACAAGTCGAAGCAACTTTTTTTTGAACAGAGCTGTTCGTAACGCAAATCGTTTGCAAGTAGGGAACGTTCGTAAGTTGAGGTTCCATTGTATATTAATAGGATTTTTCTTTTAATATTTTTAATATTTTAATTTCAGGCCACGGATAAGTGAAATCAGCGAATGTTGATCCCACAGATAAGGGGGTCCTGCTGTACACCCATGGCTTATCCTCAATGAACTCTCTGATGTTTTCTAAGATTTCCACTAATGGTGAAGGTTTTTCCACACTCCATGCACTTGTATGGTTTCACTCCTGTGTGTGTTCTTTGATGTATAGTGAGATGTTCCCTCCGACGGAAGGTCTTTCCACATTCCGAGCATGTATACGGTTTCACGTCTGTATGGATTTTTTCATGTTTAGTGAGGCCTCCATTGCTGCTGAATCTTCGGCCACACTGTGGCATTTATATGGTTTCTCCCCAGTGTGTAGCTTCTGGTGTAAAGAAAGGACTGACATCCTACCAAAGCTTTTTCCACACTCCACACATCGATATGGCCTCTCTCCAGTGTGTGTCCTTTCATGCTTAATGCGACATGAATTATCACTGAAATTCATCCCACACATTCTGCATGTATGTGGCAATCTTCGGCCACACTGTGGCATTTATATGGTTTCTCCCCAGTGTGTAGCTTCTGGTGTAAAGAAAGGACTGACATCCTACCAAAGCTTTTTCCACACTCCACACATCGATATGGCCTCTCTCCAGTGTGTGTCCTTTCATGCTTAATGCGACATGAATTATCACTGAAATTCCTCCCACACATTCTGCATGTATGTGGTTTCTCCCCCGTGTGAGTCCTTTGATGGACAGTCAGATGTTGACCTTGACTGAAACTCTTCCCACACTCCATGCATTTATAAGATTTCTCTCCCCTGTGGACTCCTCTTTGATGTTTTGTAAGGTTTGAGTGCATATTGAATTTTTTCCCACACTCTGTGCATTGATATGGTTTTTCTCCTGTGTGAATCCTTTCATGTATATTAAACTGTCCACTTGTGCTGAAGCTCTTTCCGCACTCCATGCATTTATATGGTTTCTCCCCTGTGTGGACTCGCTGATGGACATTAAGATTCTGGCGTACACTGAAGCATTTCCCACACTCTACACATTTGTATGGTTTCTCCCCCGTGTGGGTTCTTTTGTGTGATGTTAACTGCCCGCTTTCACGGAAGCTCTTTCCACATGCCACACACTGGTAGGGCTTCTCCCCTGTGTGGGTCCTTTGGTGTTTATTAAGGCTTCCGCTATCCCCAAAGCTCTTCCCACATTCCATACATTTATAGGGTTTCTCTCCTGTGTGGATTCTTTGATGGACAGTAAGGTTCCCACTTACAGTGAAACCTTTCCCACACTCCAGGCATTTATAGGGCCTCTCCCCTGTGTGGGTTTTTTGATGTTCACTATAACTCCCATGATAGCTGAAGTGCTTTCCACACTCCGTGCATTCATAGATTTTCTCTCCTGTGTGTGATCTTTGATGGATCGTCAGATACTGGTTTAATCTGAAGCTTCTCCCACATTCTGTGCATTGATGAGGTTTCTCCCCTGTGTGGATCCTTTGATGTGAAACAAGCTGCCCATTCCACCTGAAGCTCTTCCCACATTCCATGCATTGGTATGGATTCTCACCTGTGTGGATCCCAATGTGTTTACTTAATGCTGACTGATATCGGAAAAGTTTTGCACACACTGGGCACTTTCCCCGTCTTCTTCTTCTATACGTTTGTGAGATCAAGTGTTCATGGACGTCGACGCATTTAGAAGGAGTGGCTTTCTTCCTCCCGTTCTGTGCTGGGCTTTCTTCACACCTTTGAGGCCTCCGCCGACCTTTCCCCATTTTAAGCTTCCTTGCTTTGGCCGATATCACTGAAGGGTCCCTGTATTTTTCATTCTCTCTCCTGACACCTGGTTTGAGGGGGAAAAGAAACCCTGTTGTTACTGAGGGCCTATAATCTATTGTTTGAGGAGAACGATTATGGAAAAGACACAACACAGATTGAAGGAATGTCTATGGTTTAAAAAAAAATACACATTGACCCACTAATTAATTCACCAAGTAACCACAATAGGACTGTAGTATCTCCAGGGGGTTGTAGGGACGTGGTGGCACTGTGGGCTAAACCGCAGAAGCCTGTGCTGCAGGGTCAGAAGACCAAGCAGTCGTAAGATCGAATCCACAAGACAGATTGAGCGCCTTTTGCTTTGTCCCAGCTCCCGCCAACCTAGCGGTTCGAAAGTATGCAAATGCGAGTAGATAAATAGGGACCATCTCGGTGGGAAGGTAGGGGAGTGTATATTTTAACTTTTTTTTGTAGTGTTGTCCAGTTTTACCTTGGGGAAGAGCACCTCATTTCGTTGCACCCACTTGTGAGCGCAATGACAAATAAATTTCTTATGTCTTATGTCTTATGTCTTAATTAATTCACCAAGTAACCATAATAGGACTGTAGTATCTGCAGGGGGTCAGTCCCGTCTCTCTGTGGATGTGTGTCGATGTCCATGAACATTTGATGTTGCAAACTATAGAAGAAGGAGAAGGGGTGCCCAGGGACTGTACAGCTTGCCCAAGGCCACACAGGCTGGCTCTTCTCCCAGGAGGCGCAGTGGGGAATCGAACTTTCAATCTCTGACTTCACAGCCAGATACCTAAACCACTGAGCTAGCCAGCCACCCCTTCTCTTCACATCATACAAATCCTAGTTCCCACAACAAAAACATGTTTAATCATATCATCATCATCATCATCATCATCATCATCATCATCATCATCATCATCATCATCATCATCTCAGAACTGCAGAGCTGGAAGGGACCCTATGGATTATCAAGTCCAGCCCCTGTCAGTGGGGAACCGAACTCAGATGCCTAAACCACTGAGCGATCCAACAGTTCGAGCGCTCTCAACTTCTTTGGTTGTTTATTTTAAACCTGGTTATGAGACTCATCAGCTTATCAGATTCCCGGATGGCACACAGGATAGAAGAAATAAAAGCATATGAAACAAGTAAGACACAAAATTAAAAGGGCAAAGAAGTGCTTCCCTCATTAACACTTCTGCTTGTCACTTCATTGCATGGTTATTGTACTTAACATTTTTTAGGAGACTGCACACTTTGTCCAGGGAGCTCTGTGTACTGGACAAACTAAAAGCGCAACGCATGAGTGAATATCTAAATAAAGTATAATTAAAAATTGTAAACCGCCTGGAGATCATCATCATCATCTCAGAACTGCAGAGTGAATATCTAAATAAAGTAAGGGAACTTTCTCCCAGACCTGACCCACAAAAGTGGCACCGTTATTCCACACACACCCCACCCCCTGGCCATAGGGCTGTTCTTTTGTATGCTCCTTTGATAGTTCATTGGTTTTAGGTCTCTGGCTGCAGAGCCAGAGGTTGGGAGTTCGAATTCTCCGCTGGACCTCCTTGAGAGGGGCTGGACTGATGATCCACAGGGTCCCTTCCGGCTCTACAAATTAAGATGAGGAACCCATTGCAGAAAGATGCCTCAATCAGAGCCAAAGAGGGGTGTATTTCACACTGGTCTCTTGTTTTTTGGCGGAGTGGGTGTGTGTGTGTGTCCTGTCTCTCTTTTTATTGGTTGCTGCTGGTTACACCCCAGTAGGGACAGGGTTTAATTCAAGAAAAGGAGGGAAAGGATCAAAGAGGTTTGTGCAAAAGCAATCATGCCATTGTTTGATTGCACGGCTCAGACCCCCGTGGATTGGGTGGATGGCTTTCTTCCCTCTTCCACACACCCAAATCTTGCTCTCCTTCTCACCCTGCTAAATCCTTACCTCTTTGTCTTCTCCTGGCCATTGATTCTCTCGCCTCCTCCTCCTCCAGGAGGACAGAAGGATCTCCCTTATTGTCCTCCCCACCTTTTTATGCCCCTCTAGGAAGCCTAACTCGGCTCACTTAACCCTTTCAGCATCTAGGCCGGAGCCAATCCACCCCCTTTCTTTCCCATGTCTCCAAAGCAAAAGCATGCAAATTTGGTTCTGGACTGCACCTCCCATCATCCATCAGTTGCCGGGAGGGGATTCTGGGGGTTGTAGCCCAAAGACATCAACCTAAACACTTGTTAAGTCTCCACCTCTTTGGGGAATTCTTTCATTCTTTTTTTAATTTACATTTCTCCCTATTAAGGGTCCCTTAGGGCAGTGGTCCTCAGCTTTGGGCTTCCAGATGTTCCTAGACTTCAACTCCCAGAAATCCTGGCCAGCAAAGGTGGTGTTGAAGGCTTCTGGGAGTTGTAGTCTAAGAACATCTGGAGGCCCAACGTTGGGGGACCACTGCGTTGTAGTCTAAGAACATCTGGAGGACCAACGTTGGGGGACCAATGCTTTAGTTTAGGGTCTTTTTAACAGTCAAATGGGATTGCTCACTGTAAGTTGGGAAGTGGGATCTCCGACCCCATGCTGCCTCCGGAGTCGGGGAAAGACACACAAATATACACAATTTAACAGGCTATCTAGGGAAAGAAAACTTTCTTCTTTGAACAAATAATTTTTCCTATTGGGAGACATTGTATTGTCACCACTGTGAGCTTCCCGGGTTTTCACAGCTTTACATACTTTGCTTCCTTTGAAACCATAAACTTTTTTTATTTTTGTGTGTTGGGGGGGACACCACATTCTTCTCCCCTTTTTCCTTTGTTTTAATGTCCAGGCCTCAGAATGGAGCAAATCAGGGGATCTTGCTGCTTGCCCTGAGTGCCAAAACGGCTACATACGGCCCTGCTTTGAAATGGAAAATCGTTTATTTTAAAACTGTGTTTACAAGAATCCTTTCTTCATACAATCCATGATTGAGGTGTGAAAGATGTGGGGGCTGTCATGTAAGATCTTTAGAAAGATTCAAGTACGTAACTCCATAGTGGAAGCAAAATAACCATTATGAATGGCTACTACTTTTGACAACTCCATAGAACCCCCAGCTACAGAGGCAGTGTACCACTAAATACCAGCAACTGTGTTATGATCAAAATGGAGGTAAATGTAATTCCCTGCATGGCTTGCTTGGGTGATTCTGGAATTCCTTAGGAGGTTACTATATGGATTGGAATGTATGAATGAAATGGGCTGTTCCTGACCCAGTTATCAGAATAACTTTAGCAACGCTGAATTTAAAATAACCAGTGTGGGACAACAAATAGATAGCCAGGTGAGAGAAAGCATCTTGATCTCCGTTTTCTGTCTTTGGCCACAGGTCAGCTGGTGCTCTTACCTAGGTCTCTTCTTCCTGGATCACCTTTCCTGGATCCCCCTTCAAGCAAATAGTTTAGTTTCTTCTTTCGTTGTTCTTCTGCCACGGAATGTCAAGTATGTTAAAATTCTTGGCGCTTCTGTAGTCACGTTTTGGCTGGCAGATTTAGTTCAGTGTGAGTGTTCGTGAATTACATTGGCCAGGTATATTCTGGTTTAATAGTTTAGCTGCGAGGGTTGTTTATATTATTGTCAACAACCCAGAGTAGTACGTTGCACTAAATCTGCAGGCAAATACCAGCCCAGTGTGGTATAGTTTAGCCCATGCAAAACAGGTACACATAGAGTTTATAGGAGGGATCTTTTTGGACTGGAGTGACAGCCGCCCTATCCAGCATAACCAATTATTCCTTCTTGCCTCCGAATTAAAAGAGAGCCTTCCCTCTGCTCTGTGTTCTTTTCCTTCCGTTCATCTGTTGCAGTCTATTTCTTTGCTGTTGATCTGTTCACAACTGTAGGCAATAAAACATTTTTACCCTTTTTCCTACAAATGTCTCAGAGTGAGTTACTGAGACTGTAAGTGCCAGTTAATGAGAAAGAAGTGGACTATCTAGGGAACTTGCAGCTACAGTATTCTCCTCTATGAGTCTCTATACTTCTACTGCATACCATAAGCACTTTTACCAGAAATTCAAATCTCTGCAACACATAGCACTCTAAAAAAAACTGTAAAATTATTACTGGATGTCTAATGCCAACCGCTGTTGATAAAATCAATTACCGTACCTAGTAAGCCTTGAGCCCAGTGACATATACAGCAGCTAACAGTGAAAGATTCGAAGCATCTTCATTAAATGTCAAATGCTTATCTACTGTTTGGCTACCATCCTGCCCCTCCCAGATTGTCAAGATGTTTTTCTCAGAACATCTGTGAATCTTGAAGGAACTGCAAAGGATGTCAGGACTGTGGAAAGAAAAGAAATACCCATGTCTTAAAACGGGTGAAAACCCAGGAAAATTCAGACCCCATTCAGGTGGACAACTGGGAGTCGCTTAACTGGCTACAGACTGGAATTGGCAGAACCAAAGTGAACCTAAGAAAATACAGTTTTCACACAGACGTAGTCATTTGTGAGTTGAGAGAACAGGCCATGTCATACATGTATCCATGTACTCTATGGCCCTCAACATATATCATGGATGGACGATGTGGTGCTGCCCCAGATGATGTCATCTCTTATTGGGTGAAAATTATCTGTTAAACGTTTCTTAATTATATTCTGGTACTTCTGATACAAACGAAGAAAAGGTCTGAAAAGCCCTCCTGGTGTTGCCCCCATGCTCTGTTGGTCCACTTTGCAGCTATTTTGAGAACAGAGGGTACAGCATCAGCCCCCCCCCACTAGAGGGGATGGCCCTTCCTCTCTCCTGGAACCACATACAATATATTGTAGGCCATGCTGGAAAAGATTATCCTTTCTCCAAGCCATCCCTGTATGGTCTGAGATACCATCTATCTCATGCAGCCCACAGATGTATGTTAACGTGTGTTTATAGAATATATAGCATCATGTGCTTGTATCCTGTAGGTGTTGTCTTGCAGGTCTGTGTGCTGTGTATATTGTTATTAGTAGGCATGGGATTTTTTAAACATTATATATAAAATTATTATACATATAATTTTGGGGACAGAGGAGTTGCCGATGTCTGCAGGAATTTGCCCCGCCAAACTCTTGGGCTTTTAAATAAAAACAAAAAAATTAAACTAATTTTTCAACTGGTGGAAGAGACAAGGAAATAGGTAGGCAGGACTAAGCTCTGTGGGAGCTGCAAGGGATTATGGAAGTGGTAGTCTCTGCCCGTTAGAAAAGCTCTTTAAAAATAAAAATAATTAAGTTGCCGATGTCTGCAGGAATTTGCCCCGCCAAACTCTTGGGCTTTTAAATAAAAACAAAAAAATTAAACTAATTTTTCAACTGGTGGAAGAGACAAGGAAATAGGTAGGCAGGACTAAGCTCTGTGGGAGCTGCAAGGGATTGTGGAAGTGGTAGTCTCTGCCCATTAGAAAAGCTCTTAATTTTTTTTTAAAAAAATTAAAAAAATTAAAAAAAATTAAAAAATAAAATTAAAAAAAAAAAGAAAAGCTCTTAAAAACATTGAAAGACTTTAAAACAAAATTACCAGACCCACAAACCCTTGTATCACCCATGGAATTTAGCATCCCCCTCCATTTCCCATCTTCTTCACTGGCTCAGGAGTTTAATTGTAAATAACTTGAAAACACCTGGCACAGCTTTGTTTTCTTAATTAAAGCCCCCAGGAGTCTGGCTGAAGGATTTTCTTTCCCCATAGTCTGAAAATCCCATGCCTCATTATTAACTTCCATCATTCCTCACCATCAGCTATGCTAGAGATGGCTGATGGGAGTTGCAGTCCAATAATATCTGAGGGCCATAAGTCCCCTCTCCCCATGCTGTGGTTTTGTTCACACAGAAAATCTAAAAATCATTAGAGAGCCCTGCAAATTATACTCCCTTCAGCACAGAGTACTCCTTAAATTTTGATTAAATGCTGGTTACAGCTGAATCTTTCTCTACACTCAGAACTCTTAAATTGTTACATGCTCCACACACTCTTATGCTGTGACAATGTGGATTTAATTTCTTCTGGAGCAATTAGTCTGACTTGAACTTGCTGTCGAGGCCATGGTGGCAGAAGTAATTTTTGCTACATAGGTGAAAAAAATCAGAGCCAGAAAATAAATTTGAAAAAAATATATATATTTAAAGAGAAATGATGAAAACAAGCAATCTTGGTAATGAGAAGTTTATCAACTGGGGAAAAATCGGATATTTTAAATGCAGAAAATATAACCATATACAGGAAAAAACATTACAATAGGAGATAACAGATCACCGTCATGAAGTAGCTGTTAATAAAGTAGATACATATTATAAATATGAGCTGCAAATTGATTCTGTCTTAAGAGATCTTTACCACAGTTTTTTAGGTATAAAATGCTCAGAAGTTGTTTAGCAGTCCCTTTTTCTGGGCTATATGGCTTGCCCAAAGCCACACAGGCTGGCTTTTCCCCTGGGAGGCACAGTGAGAAACTCCAACTCACAAGGCTATCAAACCAGCTATATATTAAAAAATAATCATTCGCTGTCAAGTCAATCCTAACTAATGGTGGCTCTTTTCAGGGTTTTCCCTGAATCCTCAGAAGTGGCTTCCACTTCCCTTCTTCTTGAGGTGCCCTGGGATTGTTGTGCAGCTTGCCCAAGGCCACCCAGGCTGGTTCTTCTCACAGGAAGCACAGTGGGGGAATCGAACTCCCAGCCTCTGGCTCCACAGCCATAGAGAATATATATATTACTAAGTCCTGAACTGAATCTACCTGAAACAAGAATAGGTTACTTTCAATTGGCCAAGATTTTGGAGGGCCATCTCCAGGCCCCCAAATATTTTCCTTTGGAAAAAAAATTCCCTCTCTTTTCTTTTTACTGAAAAATAACTGCAAGCGGGATCTGAAGGCCTTAGGAATGGCCTTCAACAGATGGGAAACCTTGACATCTGAGCATTCAGCCTGGAGGCAGGTGTTGCATCCTGGCCTCTCCCAATTTGAAGAGACCCTCGTCCAGCAGGCTGAGGCAAAGAGGCAGTCCCGAAAGCAGCAAAATCAGGGAACTGGACAGGGGACAGATTGGATTTGTCTTCAGTGTGGAAGGGATTGTCCCTCTTGAATTGGCCTTCTCAGCCATGCTAGCCACTGTTCCAAGACCTCTATTCAGAGCATGTTACCATGGTCTCTCGAGACTGAAGGATGCCTACAGACAACTCTCAAGCTCTCTAGCAGTCATTAAAACAACACAAAATAAAATGGCAACCCACCATTTGCACCTATAGGCTGAAATCTTGTTGCTTAGGATAGTACATATCACAAGAGTTGGCCTGCCAAATCAATAGTCACTTGCCGAGTCAAATCCCTTGCAAGTTCTCTTGATTCAATGGGTCTACTTCAGTTGTGACTTACTAAAGTACTTTGCAACTAGAGTTGGCCCCTATGAATCAATGGAACTTATAGATGGCTTTCTTGTGTGGGACTGGCAACCCTAAGCAATAGGATTTCAGCGACTTTCTTGACATAGCAGAGATTCACCACAAGAGTACTCCTCTGAACTGATCCATGGCTGTTTGTTGTTTACCTCAGTAACTGGGGGGGGATTCAACAGGAGGAGGACAGTGGCACTCCTTGCACCTTTCACCATCATGATGCTGTTTATTTGTGTGGTGCTAGCATCAAATTGAGCCAAACATGCACAAGTTATTTCTGGTAGCAACCCAGTAGGATCCACATTCATCAAAATGTAACATAGAAAAAGGACAAGGCGCATGTTTTCAGGCATAACTTTCACTTCTCATTTCCTGGCACTGTGGAGTCAACAGGAGAGAGCGCTTTTAACTCATGTCCTAAGCTAATCGGTTTTCTAAAAATCACTGAATGTGTGTGAGGAACAAAAATAACCAAGCAAGTATTTGTAAACATAAGCCTCTGGCTGCTCTCTGACCAAAACATACTTTAGGTGTAAAAAAAAGTGTAAACAAGTTTTCAAACAATGCATTATTCTTTTATGCCATTCTCTGGCACATGATAGGGAACAGCCATGAACCTGGGTATCTTTTTAAAGCATTTAAACCAAAGCTCATTTGTTCAGCTGAAATCTGAGAAGAACAGCTTCAGCATGATACTTCTTAAATTGTGTATATAGGTAGTGTCGCCTCAATCTAAAACAGAGGCTTCGTTATCCCTTTATCCCTAAATAGCACAAGGGATAAAAAGTGTACCAAGATTGTTCAGGTTCACTTCCCTTCACTCCTTACTCAAGAGTTCAACACATGTCATTCTGGTCCAGATCTGTACTGGCATTCACAGATGGAGATGTTCAAACATCCTTTCCTGTGTTTCCCCCTGAAATTTCGCATTGAGACATGTTATATTCCCAGGTGGGTCTCCCATCCAACTAATAACCACCCCTAATCCTACTTAACTTCTGAAATCAAAGGAGACCTGTCCATTCAGGACGATGGATTTTTCTATGTCTCTGGCTCTGATGTTTCTTCTGGAAAATGGAATCTTGAGCCAACATGGGAAAGCAACATCAATTAAAAAACAACAACACGTTGAGACACATCACCTTTTAGACTGTTTACAAGGCTATGATTACCCGTCCACCTCATCAATCATACAGCAAGTTAGCCCTCAAGCATCTCTGGGTGGGCTTGAACCACCATGTTTTTGGTGAACCAAAGATCAAACATCTGTCTAGACCAGTAGCTGTGTTAATGAACCCATGGGTAGACTATAAGTGGGCCTTTTTGTGGGGTGGGGTGTCCAACCAGCACAGTTTCAGATGCATATACAAAGCTTTTATTAACAGAGGCATTCCAAGTATTTCAATTGTCCTAAGGTGACGCTTACAAACTGAAAACATTTTCTGTAAAATGCAGCCAGTAACCACAACAAAAAGGTTTGAAAAAATAACGCTCCCATACAGATAGATAGATTGATCGATAGCTCTTGGTTCCAACCGAGGGATTCCCGAGGCCAGAGATGAGAATCTTTTAGCATTCTGGGGGCCACACACATCCATCTCTGGACCTCAAAAACCAAACTTGTTTCCATCCCCCTGAAATAATTTATTTGAAAAGGGTGTCTTTTTCTCAAACATGCCCCATTGCTCCATCTAGTGGTCAAACCTTTTTTTAAAAAAAGACTCAAAATGCAGTATGGAGAGCAGGGGTAATGCCCCCCTAAAATATGGCACATTCCCCCGTTAGTTAGAGGGCAGGAGACTTTTGGACCTAAGAAACTGGAGGGGACATAAGACGGGGGAGCCCTGGGGTGCTGGGAAGGCCACATTTAGGATCCCTGGGAGAGTCAAATTGCCGTCTCAACTGCCACCCCATATTTGTGGTTAAGTATAAGTTCTCCCATATAATTTCAATTTTTTTCTCTCTGAGAATTTTTCTGTACGAATCTCTGGCCACATCTTTCTGCCCAAAAAGCACTCCCCCATTCAGGATTTCTATTGGGTTTCTCTTCAGTATGAATTCTTAGATGTTATTTCGAAGTTCTTCCGTCAATGAAGTGTTTCCCGCACCAAGAATAAGTGTACAGTTTCTCCCTGGTATGAATTATCTGATACCTCTTCAAATATTCTCCTCAGGGGTGCTGTTCCCATACTAAGAACACCTATATTGTTTGTCCGTGGTATAAATTCCCTGGTGTCTCAGTATCACTGGATGAAAAACAAACAAACACTTTCTCAGACTTGGGACATTCCAGCTTTTTCTTTCCAGTATGAATTTGCTCCTTTCCCCCTCTGTTTCCTTTACTCGAGATTTTCCACAATGATAACTCTTTTATCCTCCCCTGTATGAATTTTATGATGCCTCACCAAGGATCCTCTCTGACTGAACACCTTCCCACACTCAGGGCACTGGTACGGTTTCTCTCCAGTATGGATCCTCTGATGGCTCCTCAACACTTCGCTCCGCCTGAAGCTTTCCCCACATTGAGAACATTTGTATGGTTTCTCTCCTGTGTGAATTCTCTCATGATTTTTCAAACCTCCCCTCAGAGTGAAGGCTTTCCCGCACTGCGAACATTTGTAGGGTTTCTCCCCAGTATGAAGTCTCTGGTGGTTCTTCAGATCTCCTCTCACTGTGAAGCATTTCCCACACTGCAAACATTTGTACGGCTTCTCTCCAGTATGGGTTCGCTGGTGATTCTTCAAGGTTCCTCCCACAGCAAAGCCCTTCCCACACTGCAAGCATTTGTATGGTTTCTCTCCGGTATGAATTCTCTGGTGGCTTTTAAGAAAATCGCTCCGACTGAAGCTTTTCCCACATTCGCCACATTTAAACCGTCTCTCGCCAGTATGGGTCCTCTGATGTCTTTTGAGATTTTCTCTCTCACTGAAGCTCTTCCCACACTGAGAACACTTGTACGGTTTCTCCCCGGTATAAATCCGCTGGTAGCGCATTACGGCTTGTCTGAAGGGGAAGGCTTTCTCAGACCTGGGATATTCCCACTGTTTCCTTCCAGTATGAAGTTGCTCGTGATGGATCAAATGTTCTCTCTCGCTGAAACATTTCTTACAATGGGAACACTCGTACATCCTTCCTCGGCTTCCACCTCCTTCATTCCTTTCAGGTGGTTTGGGGTAATTCAATCGGTTCTCGAACTCAGAAGAGTGATGGGGTTTCTCTTCTGCCAAATGACCCCCTTGGCCATTCTCAGGGAATTCAGATCTCCTTTCTCCTGTTATCATTCTTTGCCGTTCCCTCAAGCATGAGTTTCGAAGGAAGCCTTCCTCGGACATGGGAAATTCATTGTGGTCCTCCTTAGAATCCACCACATCCAGGTCCAATCTGAAACGATATCTTCTACCATATTTGGAGAACAGGGGCATCTCTTCCCTCGAGTCTCTTTCAGAAGGCTGCAGAACTGCCGCTGGAAGAACATCTGTGGGCCCAAGACACTCATTCTCTCTCATCAATGGTGGCTTTCCCAATTCCTCTTTAGATTCCCAGCCCTCCTCTTGCTGCTCAGCTCTTACCACTGCATTCTCTTGGCTTATCTGTAGGGCTGTCCTGGAGCCGTCCTCTGTTTTAGTTCCTCCCCACTGAGGATTCTCTATTTTTACTTGACTTTCCTTCGCAACACCTGCAGAGACAGAGACAGGAATTTTGTTCATGCTCTGGAGATCTCTTTTCTCTATTTTGGGAGTTCTACCCAGCTTGCAGACATTTTACAAACACCTGTGAGAAAAGCCTAAAATGAAAGGCTCTGAGGCTTTGCTAGGCCTAGCTCCGTCCAGACTTCCTGTTCCTGCCCCAGGGCTGGCTAGGAGCTTTCTTTCTGAGCAAGAAGCATGGATACAGCTAGCCCAGTTTCCCTGGCTTTTCCTTCTAAGCTCTTTCTCATTCCCACCTTAACCTTAATCTTCAGGTCTCTACAATCCTGTCACTCTTCTCATGTGGAGAATCTCCAATAGGGATGGGGATCTCAGGTTTTCCTACTACAAATGCCATAATTCTCCATTTTGGGAGTTCTACATGATAGACCAGTAGAAGGCCTCCAACCCTTTCCATAATTCTCCATTTTGAGAGTTCTACCTGATAGACCAGTAGAAGGCCTTCAACCCTTCTGCTTTAGGCCCTTCTCCTAGGCGAGCCACATTTAAGTGTCTGTATTTCTGTCATATTTATTTATTTATTTTATTTATTTATTGCATTTATATGCCGCCCATCTAGACATAGTCTACTCTGGGCGGCTCACAACTTACAAGATAAAAACAATTTAAAATATACAGTTTTACATTAAAAAACAAAATGATATAAAATATAATATAAATTTACGATAGTGGTTGGTTCCCAGCCTTAGGTCCCCAAATGTTCTTGAACTACAATTCCCAGAAACCCTGACCATCACAGTTGGTGGTGCAAGCTTTTGAGAATTATAATCCCAAAACATCTGGGAATTTCAGGTTGGGAACCACTGTGACAGATGTATACCTTAGACTAGAGACATGTAAATGTGGCTCACCTAGGAGACAGACCTAGCCAGAAGGCTTTGAGGCCTAGCTAAGCCTAGCTCCACCTAGCGTCTTGTTCAGAAAGAAATGTTCCAGCCAAGCACATGGGCAGGAGTGGGGAGTTTGGCAGAACTAAGTCTCAAAGCTAAGCCACATTTGGGTGTCTGTCTAGGTGTGGCTACACTAGCAGCAGAAATTTGCTAGCGTGGCTCGCGAATCAGGCCTCACAAGAATGATCTAATCAAGCTGAACCGTTCACACAGAAATGACTCCTGCCCATACTGTGAAGTGCCTTGCTTACGAA